ACGCATTCGATAGGAAGCTGCGTGGGAACCAAATCCGGTCTGGACGACATGGAGAAGAGAAAATTTTTGACCCTACCGGGATTCGAATTCTTACTCCTGTCGTCCAGCCCATAGCCAGTCGCTATACCGGCTACGAGACATAGCGAAAGCAATACGCGCGTTTGTTTGCAACTTTTCGCTGTAAATACACCAATACTTAAAATTCCATTTGTAAACTTCCCTGTTAACTTGAGTTTTTACCTTATTTGCAAGCCGGGAATAATTATTGTGTAATTTGTAAAGGTGATAACCTTTTAATTTGCACTGTTAAAACGATGTACAGTATGTCCGGAAACTCACTTCAGGGTCCTGGAAGGCTATATTTTCGTAACCGTTTTACATATTCACTGAAATGCTGTTTAACTAAAAAATACTTCAGTACATTCTACGTACGTCGCTTTCATAGTATTACAAATGTCCAGCAGGTGACGGATTTTAACAACACTCGTCGCAGCTACATTAATGGCTCTTTTTGTTCCTCTAATTTGGCCGCATGTCCAGGATGCTTGCACGCGGCATTTTGGACTTAAATTTACAAGAAAGAAAATATAGGTCGTCAAATTTGATGATCTCCGAGGCCTTGAGTTATGTCCTAGGTGTAGCGTAGGTATATATTGGGCAGGTGGCCAACTCAAGCAACACAGCACTGCAGCTGAGATAACAGTAACTCCAGACATGGGCTAAAATCGCTTATCGGCTAGATATCTGTGGTGCCATGAAGGGAACGCGGTTGGAATATACGGACTGAACTGTGTGTTCGATATGTACAATGGTTATGAAATCATAGCCTCTTAAAACCTTGGAGTGGCTGTATTGGCACTTCCATATTCCGACCAGAAGGGAGACATTTGTCCAAACGAGTTCGCTTTTTCTTATCCTGAAAGTGCTACATTTTATTTCTGTAACTATTCAGCGTCTGGCTCCGGACTTCAGCCAACCGAATATATTTTTAACCATTTTATTTAAAAATGTATGCTAATTGGGTGAGTAAATTGTTTACAGAACCTTGATATAGAACCAGTCAAATAAATCACTTTAAAGAAAGGTGATGCACTTCAAAATATTTTGGCTATTCATCTGTAAATAAGACAGTTGCGAAACAGTGGAAATAAATTGTTGACTATTTATTTCTTAATGCATATAACATACCACGACCATGTCTTTGTTTCCGAACTTGTATATTACATTTTTTCCCCGCTGGCTCTACAGCCCCCTTGGGCCATGGCCTCTGATTTTTCAGTTTCGTGATCATTTTACAGACGGTAGGACTCCTTGGACGAGTGATCAGTTAGTCTCAAGGCCTTTACTTAAACACAGGACAACACAAACGCAGAATGAACGCATACACATACCAAATATCCGTGCCTTGTGGGGGATTCGACCGGTTGTGTATTACTTTACTGGAGTAAAATAATCGCTATAATAAGTTAAGAATCACTTGGTGGATGGTACTAGTACAGTAAAATGTCTCTAAAACGGAATCCGGTTAAACAGAAACCTGATTAGAACGAAAATGTTATCTGTGTACGAGAATGTGTAGTTAAGATAATATAAAACCATCTGGGATGAACTGAAATTGTCAAAATGAAAACCGAAAGCAAAATGTTAACGGAAAATAAGTCTCCGAAGTCGTCTGTTCTATCCGGCCAAAATTTTACATGCTTTTGTCTTCCCTCCTATGCCCTTTATATGCCCTGCCCCTCTTATCCCTCATATTATTTGGTGATGCATACAGCTCCATGTTTATGCATTTCTCTGCTTCCTATTGCTGCTTCCTTTTTGTGTGTCCAAATGTTCTCGGACACTTTCACTCTGTGTTCTTGGCGTTGGATAAGAAACAAAGTTTCACACCCACACAAAAGGTAAAATTATGCTTGTATGTTGCAATCTTTTTAAGTTTTTAGATAGGCGGCAAGACGCGCAAGACAGATTTTAAGAACTGGACAGTAGCAAGAATTATTCAAATTGAATTAGCTTCGAATTCTTCGCGAATGTAATTTTGACGTGTTATTGATATTCATAAATATTTGAACTTTGCCACATTTTCTGAGAGTTTATTAGTTTATCTGTATATTATGATTTTGTTCTGAATTCCGGTTACGAGACGTGAACATAAACTTAGTTTCGTTTGCGTTTTATTTGCAATATAAACATAACTAATACCTTTATGTGGTATTAGAATGTGAGACACCATGTCCTATCCACGGTGGACATTCACAGATGCATGTCCAACACATGGGACAACTTAAATTGTCAGAAATATCCTTACGGCGTGTAGCCAAAGGATATGGAAATGATAACTGACTTATCCTACGTAAGCGGTAATACTGCAACATTCTGACATGAGACCCGAGCAAGATGTAGTGCTCTAATGCTCATCATACACTGTAAAATACTCGTTGCGTATTTAACGATGCTGTCAGTCGCTCAGACCGCAAAGCGTCGAATGATACAGTGATTAGTGAATGACGAATCTGAAAGGGTGTGGAAGGAACGTACTGTCGCCATCTTCAGGGTTGAAGAGCAAGACAAATAAGCAACCAACAAGAAGCAGACACTCTTCGACCTTTAAGATGGTGGCAATATGTTTCTCCGAAATGTCGGTGAACTTCAACCGGACATAGTCACCTCTGTGAGAATCTCAGGTACAGTATATCTGAACCTCAAGTGATGACGCTGTCAGTGATACTCTGAGAACCATATAGAATCAGATAGTTGGGTGACAGTGCGTAATTATCTTGAAGGAAAGCCCCAGTCAGGAAAGTCCGTGGCCCCGGCTACATTCGAATCTGCCATCTTCCCAGTACAAATCGGAAGCGTTACGGTTGAGCCAGCTTGCTCGATAGTTGTAAGGTGGCGGTTTGTTTCCACATGTAAAATATATAGAGTGGCCTGCTCTATGATAGCTCTGTAATCCTGTGATATGCTTGTAGTCCTATCTATATGATAGACCTCTAATCCTAACCGTGTGACAGGTCTGTAAACCTAATTTTGGGATTACAGGCCTACATATACGTACAGTTATGTTTACATGCCTATCATGCAATTAGGTTTACAGACCTGTCACACGGTTAGGATAGCCTGTAAACCCAACTGTGTGGTGGATCTATAACCCAAAATGTATGACGGACTTACTGTATAATCCTAACTGTATGATAGGCGTTTTATTTTAAGTGTTTTGATAGGTCTGAAATCCTAACTGTGTATAGGCCCGTAAAGCTAACAATGATAGGCCTGTAATCCTAGCTGTATAAAGGCCGGTAAACACGGTTTTAGCCGGTCACGGTAGCCGAGCGGTCTAAGGCATGTACTGTCTTCGCTCGCTTGGAAACCGGGATCGTGGGTTCGAATCGCACTCAGGGCATGGATGTTTAGTTTGTGTGCGTGCGTTTTTCTGTGTTTGTCTACAGGTAGAGGCCTTGCGACGAGCTGATCACCCGCCCAAGGAGTCATACCGAATGTGTAAGATGTAGAAAAACCAAAGTGAACGGAGAAGTTCATGGAGGTAGGCCTAGGCCTACTGGGGCTGTAGTGCCAAGGGGGAAAAAACAGCTTTATGATAGGCCTGTAATCCTATCTAAATGATAGGCCGGTAAACCTAACTCACTGGTCGAGCTATAATCGTAAATATCCATAGGCCTATGGTCCTAATTGTATGATAGACCCATAATCCTAAATATATGACAGGCCTGTAATCCCAGCCGCACGTGGACCACCGATTTGAGAAAGATATCTCGACACTGAACAATATAGGTTTACGACTGTGTTCCTGTTTGCTGTTGTTAGGCTGGCGCATGTACGTTCGTTGCACTTACAGTAGCTGTTTTGAAGCAGTGCTGTACTTTGAACCATCACAAAATATCCAGAGTTGGGTCGAGTGGATTAATAAAGCTTTTATTATTACTGAAATCCCAGGTTCAGTTGTCGAATCAGAGGCCGGCTATCCTGACCAGACTTTTTCGTGGTTTTCCCACAGAAACAGACAAATACTGTGACTCTCTCTTAACATAGTCCTCGCCTTCACAATTCGATAACAAGATTCAGTCACATCCTACACTATAGAAACTGTGAAGCTGAAATCTATGTTTAATAAACTTAAATACCAGGAAATAAAATAGGATCTACTTTTGGAGCCTGACTGAATAGGTATTTCCTGGTCTTCCTTCTTCTTCTTCTTCTTCTTCTTCTTTTTTCCCCCTTAAGCCAAGTCTCGAGTCGCCGTAGCTGAGTTCTAGATAATGACAAAATGCCATCGCACAGAATTATCGTTACAGTTCTTTAGAGCTATAGTCCCTAATTATCAGCTGTTCAGGTCTCCTTCCTTAAAATTATTCCTTATATCGGTTTATGCATTCCTTGCAACAATTATTCTTACTGAGACCCTTCCATAAGAGTGCCTTAAAATAAGCAACGATTGGTTCCTTTCGTATTTTAAGTTCATCGTTCATAATTATCCTACTGTTAAATAACTAACTTCACGGAGCTAAGCCCTTCTTGAGAATCCGCTAGTTCTGCAGCTACTCAAGAACTTCCCAACATTTTATGGAACCCGAAGGTTTGTTACCGTGTTCACAAGAGTCCTCCACTGGTCCCTATCCTGAGGCAAATCATCCAGTCCATACCACACCATCCTATCTCTCTAACATCCATTTTAATATTATCCACCCAGCTATATCTTGGTCTTCCTAGTGTGCTATTTTCTTATAGCTTTCCCACAGATATGATATATGCATTCGTCTTCTCCTGCATTCATGCTACATGCCAAGCCCGTCTCATCCTACTTGACTTGATCATTCTAATTGGCGAAGAGTACAAGTTGTGAAGCTTTTCATATTGCATTTTTTTTCAACCTTCAATTAGACGCTTCACAACATACGCAGTCAAAAAAAAAAGTGTGTTTACACAACGCGGTAACCAATCGGGAATAGAAATATAGAAGCAGCTGTTCACTTCAAACTTACGTTTTGAGGTACAACGGGTCACGTCTGCAGGAAGTTCCGTGCTGCTATGAAGTCCCGAGTTTTGTCACTGTCATCACTGGGACCCTTGCTGAACCAGTACACAACCTATTTCTATAATACCCACTTTAATATTATTCTTTCTTCGCGAGTCACCTTGTCTGTTTCCTGAATCCACCGGTAGCAGGACCAAAAGGAAACTGCCGTCCATGAATCCGCCGGTAGCGGGACCAAAAGCAAACTGCAGTCACTGGTGGATTGCGTCCGCTATTTATAGGTGCATCTGAGAGCAGCATTCCAAAATATGTTCTTATCAAAATGAACACGGTCCAGAACACAAGCCGAGAGCAAGTTAAGCGTTTGTTCCAGTCTGCTGATGAAATTCTATTCGTGAAGCTTACTCCTATGCTTATGGACCTCAAGGCTTGTTCTGTTGCTGGGTCTACCGTCACTCTTTTATAAAACTGAATTACTTTATGACTGCCTTTAATTTTGTAAAGATTACCTGTTTATGGAAGTGGAGACACTTAATCCAGCTTGCTGTAGCTCAGTAAAACAGGCGGCCATGCTTCGGGTCACAGCAGAAGTTCGGCACGGGGGTAAATGCGGCCTGAGTACGAAACTAATACCGAACTGTTGTATTCGATAAGGATGTAGCCGCTGCCTTTGGAATGTGATTATCGGTGGTAGCTTGAGGATGGGTTAGGTTGGTAGAATGAAATGAGATTGTTTTTTATCGGGAATTTATATTCTATTGCGGTAGGACCAGTGATTAACGAATGAGGGTTTGTTGGGCGCCAGTAGGAATTCCTGGATGAAGAATTCCTATAAATATCTAGGATTGACCCTCCCTAACAGTGGAGTGTGGTGTGGGTTAGCTCAGGTAGATACGTGACTCTTCTCGGATCGTATTGACATGTCGTAACTTAGGTGACGCGGAGCTGCGCAGTGATGGTATTCCGTGCACATGTTGGATAACTTTGATGGAGATTTGTTAACTAACTAACTCACCCCATGGCGACGAACCTTTCTTGAAAAGCCGCTAGTCGCCCAGCCAGTAGAAAATTTCCCTTTTTATTGAACCCGGAGGTCCATTACCAAGTCCACAAGAACACTCCACTGATCCCTGTTCTGAGCCAGACCAATCCAGGCCATATCACTCCATCCTAACTCTCTACGACCAATTTTAATATTTTCCTCCCACCTACGTCTTGGTCTTCCTGGCGGTCTCTTCTTGCGAGATTTATTGACACATCTATAATTCAAATACACAAATTCAGTGCTGTAATTAAGACAGAATCCGTGCGTGAATTCCGCCCTTTCTGTATAGTTTTGTTGGGCATGTAGTCATATTTAGTCAGACTAGGGCTTGAAGTGTGCTGTTCAGGGATGGAGTTAGGAGTTAGGCGCAGCAGCGCTTGGCACGTCCGTTTTCGATGTGTGAATTCTACAAAGTCCTTTCAGTCAATCTGCTATCGGCTGGCCGGGCTCGGTCTCAAATTTCCGAACGAAAGACGCTCTCTTTCAGGTTCTAATTGGCGCTACTGAATAGTTTAGGAGGTTGCCAGAATTTATATTCTCCGAGTAGAAAGGAAGAGCAATCAAGTCTGTTCCTGAACATCTCATACCTGTGTTCTCACTTGGGAACCACAAAAAGATATGGGACCTTCCGCTGGGAAGTTTATATTCTCTGCTGGAGGAGCCGACATGCCACCAGGGTCTTCTCTTTTACATTTAACTGGGGCATGCTTTCTGTCTTACATCTGGATGCAAGGATTAGTGTGATCTGCTGATTTGAACGAAGAATAGTTCTAGCCCCCTCACAAATTTAATTGATTGCTATCCTAATTTAATTCATTACAAAGAATCCAATCAGATCAAATTAACTTTAATTCAAGCCTATGCTAATTTGGACTGCTGCACTGAGTCATTCCTTTGGAATTCCAATATAATACCTTAAAAAAGATATTCATCATCATCAAAATTTTCATGTGTCATTCAGTACTACACAACTTCCAAATTGAAACAGCGTCATTCAAACCAGTCATTTGTTAAGCTGTTAAGTGTCGAATAGCAGGATGATTGGTAAATAATGAATTAAGAGGATGTGGAAGGAAGTGGTCATGGCTTAGTTGAGGTATTTTTTTGTTATTCACATAGAGGAACTGAGTAAAATTGTAAAAGACTTCATTCAGGGCAGTTGATGTCCAAGCTGTGATTTGAACTGAGAACCTCCTGAATGTAGTCTAGAGTATTATACCGCTTCACAAACCTTTTTGATAATTATGAAGATGAATGCTGGATTTACATCTAAGCTAAAATAGATGTAGGTTAGGGCATTACATTGTGATGGGTAAAAAAGGCAAAATGTGAATTTTTTGTTTTGATTATATTACTTGGGAATTGCTAATATGTTACTGTAAACAATTAATAAAGAAATCTCACAATAATGAACTTTTTAGCTTACAAAATCCAAAGAAATGAAAACCAAATTGTCTCTTTCACAACACACCCGGGAATAACCAAATTTGAGAGAATCTTCTAAGGGAGGCTGTGTCTCAAAAAGGGCTGTGTTTCCAGTGATGATGATGATGATGATGATGAAGAAATACCATTGTCAAAAAAGAGTTCTGTGTTATAACATCGAGTAGTCTGTTGAAAGCCAGTGCACGTTTGGGAGGAACATTTTGCCTTTATTTTAAGGGTTGAAGAGTAAGCCAAGTGAGAACCTAGCATGAAGCAGCTGTGCTTGCTTGCTTCCTGCTGGTTTTTTGCTTGGCTTATTCTTCAAGCCAGAAGATGGGGCGATGTGTTCCTCTGAATTGTCAGTTGACTGTTAACAAACTGCATGGCATTATATCCCAGAAACAGAACTCTTCATAACCATCACTGTGAGAACGTCAGATCTTACAAATACTATTGTTGATTATTATTAGTCTGAATATTTGTTCTTAATTTTTGTTCCATGTATGTCAGTGATCTGATACAGGTTTAAGGGTTTATTGTTTGTATTTACATTGTTCTTCCCAGAATTAGTAGTGTGAAAATGGCAAACAAAAATATTTCTTATCGAAATATGATGTGTATTTCAAACGAAATAGTATAGTTTTTTTTATAATAAGTACATTTGTGTGCGCACCGAAGTAGACTTAAAGGATCAGTATTTCTACATGTTGCGGGCCTCTCAGGCCTGGACCACTGATGAGTCAGGGTTCAATTCCCAGGAGGTTTAAGAGATCTTTCTCTCCATATATAACATCCAAAGCAGCTCTGGGGCCCACCCAGCCTCGTATACAGTGGGTACAGGGGACTTTTTGCCTGGGGTAAAGCAGCAGAGGCATGAAGCTGAACATCTGCCTGCATCTAGTGCCAAGATGGAGCTATACATCCACTCCCCACATGTCTTCATGGCATAGTTCTTAACTAATTAAACCCAGAGCTTACTTTACCTTATGTTTGCAGTGTCCCTGAAGCATGTTGCAGGTTATGACACCAGCCTATTTAAAACTGGAACTGAAACATGTGATTGTATTGTTGAATTTACTCAACACACCTACATAGACACATATGCTCTTCATGTAACACAGTGCCTGTAGAATACATGATAGTTGAATCTTTCCATTCTTGTTTTCTAGATCGGAGCTGATGGTGCCAATTCTCAGGTTCGGAAGGCAATGGGAGTGCAGTATTTATCGTGGGATTATAACCAGATGGGAGTAGTAGCCACACTGAACTTATCTGAGGTGCACATTACAGTTTTATTTTGTATAAAGGCAGTGTAATAAAACTATTATGCCTATGGGAGTTCAATTAAATTGCATTACTAAATCTTTATGTTTCAGCCGATGAACAATGTGGTAGCTTGGCAGCGATTCCTGCCCACTGGGCCAGTTGCCCTTCTGCCAGTAAGTCCATCTCATTTTGAGTATACACAATACATACATGGTGTGTCCAGGATCCGGTAGGACTCATTTTTTTTTTTTTAATTTTGCCCTGCATCGCCATCTGTTGGCGAGTTGTGGCATTAAGTTTCTTGAAGTTTCAGCTGTGGCTCTTTGTAATTTCAAAGCGCAAGCATCGCTGCATCATGTGTTCTGACCTTGAATGTGACAGTACTGTTCTGACGCTCATCGGAAAATGGCGGTTGAACAGACATCAAATTTTGTTTGAAGTTAGGCAAAACAACCGGAGAAGTGTATGAAATGATGAAAAATGTGTACGGTAGTGATTGTTTGAGTTGCTTGAAAATTTTTGATGGTATGCTGTATTTTGTGATGGCAGGGAGGACATTGAAGATGCCCCACGTCCATCAAAGCCGAGAACAAATCGCACTGAAGAAAATGTGAAAAAAGTGACTGAGATCCTTGCATCAGACAGATGTGTTTCTGCAAGACTCATCGAGGAGTTTTTGGGAACACCAAAAAGTACTGTGCATCAAATTTTGATCGAGGATTTGGACAAACGGAAGGTCTTTGCGTAGTTTGTATCGCACACGCTGTCAGGCGATGAAAAACATGGCAGAATGGAACGCTGCAAAGACATGTTACGGTCGGACCAAAGTGATACAAAATTTACAAAATCAGTTGTTACTGGTGACGAAACATGGTGTTTTCAATATGAGCCTGTCGCAAAGTGGCAAAGTGGTTGACCCCAAAGAAGCCGAAATCAAAGAAAGTGCGCATGCAAAAGAGTTGAGTAAATACACTGCTAACGGTTTTCTTCGATTCCAAAGGAATCATTCACAAGGAATTTCTGCCAGAAGGTCAGACATTGAATTCTGATTATTATCTCGGAGTCCTCAATCGTTTTTTGGGCGGGAATTCATTGAATTCAACCCGAATATCAAGAGCAAGGTTCCTGGTTGCTCCTCCACAACAGTGCCCTACCCCACAAATCAAAGTTCATGTGCGATTTTTTGGCCAGGAAAGGGATCACAGTCCTTGATCATCCTCCGTATTCGCCAGATTTGGCTCCGCAGATTTATGGTTGTTCCAAAAAGTTAAGTTGGCGATGAAAGAAGACCGTCACGACACCATCCAGCACATCCAAAGGGAATGTATTGCAGTTTTAAATGCGATTCCACAAAAGGAGTACAGTGATTGTTTTTGAAAACTTTTCAATCGATTCCAGCTATGTATTGATTTAGAAGGAGACTGTTTTCAATAAAAGGAGTGAAGGTTTGAAAATAATTCACATCTTGTACTTTTAATGAACACAGTCCTAACAGAACCTGGACACACTGCGTACGAGGGTGAGTCAAATGAAAACCGTATTTTTTTTATTCAATTTATTGAATGAAAGCAGTACACAACTATGTCATTTTTCTACATAGTCTCCATTTCGTTCATTAGAGGCCCTCCAGCGTTTACAAAGTGTATGGATTCCTGTAGAAAAACATTCTTGTGGTTGTCTGCGCAATCACTCATGCACCGCCTGCTGTACCTCTTCATCAGAACGGAACTTCTTTCCTCCCATCGCCTTATTGAGTGGCCTAAACATGTGGTAATCACTTGGGGCTAGGTCTGGTGAATATGGCGGATGTGGAAGACACTCAAAGTGCAAGTCTTGGATTGTTGCAACTGTTGCACGGGCAGCATGGGGCCGAGCATTATCATGTTGCAAAAGGACACCTCTAGTCAAAAGTCCACATCGCTGTGATCTGACTGCAGGTTGAAGATGATTCCTCAAGAGATCTGAATATGAGGCACTGGTGATAATGTTCCCCCAAGGCGTGTAGTGCTCCAAGAGTATGCCTTGTTCGACCCAAAAGAGAGTCAGCATAATCTTCCCTGCAGATGGCTGTGTCCAGAACTTCTTGGGTTTTGGTGATGAGGATTGGTGCCATTCATTGCTTGTTCTCTTTGTTTCTGGTTGGTGGTAGTGCACCCAAGTTTCATCGCCAGTAAAAATTCTCGAAAGGAAGCCCTTACCTTCT